TGCTGGTTTCTCTTTAATCATTTTCACCAGCAAGAATAAAGAAAAAAAAATCATGTTCATAATTCTATGTTCTCAGTAACTAAAAACTTCTTTCAATTATTATCATTCTATTGACATTTTACTCACATGATATTTCTACATAAATGATTTTGCATGACTGAAAAGCTTATTTTTTACTTAACTGTGTAACTAATCATGCCCCCAATTGTCATTTTCTGGAGGCTGGAGAAATGGCTCAGCAATTAAGAGCACTGGCTGCTATTCCAGAAGACCCAGGTTCAATTTCCAGTACCTATATGGTTTGACCCTAATCTTAGACTTTCTGTTTCACTCTGGGAAGGTGTGAGGATCTGCATTTTATTGCCTTCCCAGAAGTTGATGTGGATCACCTAGGGACACGTTACTAGTCGGAGTAAGATTGCACACTAGTCATCCGATTGAGGTTCCTGAAGTTCCTTCCCAGAAAGAAGCTCACAGACTTGAGTCACAGATGAGTTTTCAACATGGGGGGGTCCTTTTAGACAGCAGGGGATGGAAAAGAGAAAAGAATAAACAGAAATCCAGGAAGCAGCCAGAAGCGTTCGGTGTGCACTGCAAGGAAGCATTGTCTGGCTGACTGGAAATATCTCTTAACTGCAGAAATTGTTAAGGAGATTTTTGTCCTGAAATAAATGAGAGATTTATATTGGATGACAGTAAGTTTCTACCTTCACAATAGAGGCCAAACTGCCTCTAAGTGGGGATAAAACACACACACACACACACACACACACACACACACACACAAATGCTTTTTTAAATTCTTTTTTGTGTATGACATGTTTTTCACATGAGCACATATATTCTAGTGTATGACCGCAGGTGAAAACACACCACAGAATATAAAGAGGTCACAGAACAACCACAGTGGTTTGTCCTTGCCTTCTACCTTCTTGAACACAGATTTTTTTTTTTTCTTTCACAGTTTGCTGCTACCTAAGTAGGCTACCTAGCCTGCAAGCATCTAGGGATGCTCCGTCTCCATCTGCTGTGGTTATAGACAAATGACACCAGGAGCAATTTTTCCTAGATTCCAATGAGCACAGGTATCCATGATTGCATGGTAAGTGCTTTACTCAGTAAACCAACTCCCAAGTCCCACTCCCCAAACAATCCCACAGTTTTGTTCATGAAAGATACAGGAGAAACTCTAGCTCTGAGTAATTATTGTATATCAGCTAGAGATATTTTTATTTCATTTGGGAGATGATTACTGAAATATAAATTAAATTGAAAGTCAGAAAACCACAGAGGTTTGTTCCCTGTACTAAAGGTTTCATTTTATTTGGGTAGAGATTAATTCAGTCCCTCTAGAGACATGCACATATGAACATATGTCTACATAAGCACCCAGTGACATGTGCGTAAATGTGTCTTAGTTGTATGCTGTCTTCTAGAGATAGATAGATAGACAGATAGAGCAGAGAAGCTGCATAAGATATCTTCTCTGAATGCCACATCCACGTACATTTTTTTTTACCTATTTTTTAATTTAGTTTGGCATTATTGTTTTTATTTCAATATACAAAGAGAAAATGTGCTCATGTACATACACAATCACAAAATGGCTCCAGTAAAGAGTTACTGAACCAGATATAGGCTTATTTGTCTCATGTGTAGCAGTTTCTGAGGGCTAATTCCTTGGGAGCCTGAGTTATCACTGCATTATCTTTAAGACTGAAGTCTGATATTTTAAATTATCTTAAATGACTCTGCATTGTTCTTTAAATTAAGCAGGCTCATTAAGTCCTTAAGAAAACATGGCCAATCTCAAGGATGGCTTGGATAACTGAGGATGAAGCCTGAGAGAGCATGTTTCACTGTCTGTATATTTTATATAACAGTATTCATGAATGTATCAAAGAAGGTAAAGCTGTAGGCAATAGCTCTAAGAGGTGTGATAAAGCTTATTTTTAAGTTTAAAATTTAAAATACATTGATTTAAAAAAAAACATAACTAAGCCACTGGGAGTTGCCACCGCCTTCTGTATATAAGGTTCCACTATCAGCACTTGCTCTTAAATCCAAGTGTTCAGAAATATATCATTCAAATATTACCTACTACAGCCACAGATCAACACCACTGAATTTCTGAGTAGTAATTGTCATTTCTTCACAGAATCAGAGCACAGTGACAATCCACTATGAAGGCCCTAGCCAGCCACAAAACACATATGTATCGGTGGGCTATATTCAGTCTACTGATCCAACATTGGGAGAAAACACAGAAATGTACAATAAGGGTAAATGAGGGGGGTGCCTCAAATTTCAGTTAGTAAGTCTCTAGTAAGGACAAGAAGAAGTTGTCTCAGATTCCGATCACTCTGTCAGGGTGCACACAGACTCACAGGACAAATTTTACGTCTTCGAAAGCTTTTCTGTGCAATCACTGCAGAAATGATTGGTTAAGTGCAAAGAAGTAGAATCTGTGAACTGCTTGACAATATCAGGTCTCTAGATCACAACCCCTGATCCCAAAGTGCAGGAAACATCATGGAAGAGGAGTAGATGGATTAGAAGACGGAGAGGAGTGCTGTGAAATAGTGTCGGGTGGACACCTCATGGCCACTGCTCTCATGAACTCACAACACATACTCAACTACTTGCACAAGGTCAAGCTAGTCAATAATCCAGCGTGGATGAGGAAGGGGAGCTGAGGAGTTATTGGAAGCTGATGCATACTCAGGGAGGGAGACTCGGTTATTTTCAGCTATATACAGTCAACATAATCCGACTCAGCAGGTTGTTAAAAGCAAAACATAAACTCAGAAGGGACATATAAGGGGGAGTTAAAAGAAGAGTAGGTAGATATGATGAATATATAATGTACTCATGAAAATTCTCAAGAATAAAAAATATTATTAAAAATATCTGTGAATATGTGTTCATGACATGTAGCTTTGTGAACAAATAAATTTGTTTTTACAGTTTAAGCAGTGCTATAAATTTTTCATAAATCTGTACTTTCCTAAAAAAAAAATCATGAAACTAGTTATAAAAGAGCAGAACTTTGTAAAAGTGCAAGAACTATGGCTAAGTCTCACTAAAAACTACTGTAAGCATGTCCCAACAGCCTGGAACCATGCCTTGCTGTCAATCAGTGTGCGACCTCACTGTGGTTCACAATTACACATGCTTTCCTGATACTAAGTGAAAACACTATCACTCAAGAACTTGATGGTTTCACTCACAATAAAAGCCCAATTCTTCTATAAATGATAGCATAAAATCAACAGAAAAGAAACATTTCCTGAAAATAAAAATGGATCATCAAAAACTAGAACATTAAATAACTACTATAAACTCTTAAGTTGGTCATAAACATGAATACTGAAGTCTTCGACAACTGAACAGATACGAAAATCAGACACAATTAAATATGCAAACTGCATTCTTCTGGCTGTACAGCCTAGGTGACATCTGAGGAAACAGTATCCAAAGTATTACATCTCTATCCCAAAAATAAAAGGCTGTTTCATTATGCCCTTTGTTTTCACTGTAGGCTCTGGGGTCTCATAATCTAATAGAGGCTGATTCTCAACTGAGCAATTAGCCTGGTAAAATGTTAATGCATCCACAGAGACTAAACCATCGTTATTTAATGTGATGATGTGAAGGCAGGCAGCTGAGCTTTAAAAATTTTTTCCTAGCAACAAAGAACAAGGCAACAAGAGCAACCTTGGTGCTTGACTTCCCTTTTGAGGTCCTTGACCCAGGGTGATTCACAAACCTTTAACGCTGGTCTGTTTCTTTATAACATGGCTGTCATTCTGAGGCAGAAAAGCTATCATTACCTGGATTTGTTCATATCAAATAAACATTAAGTAGAAATTAGGTAAAAATCTGAAATGACTGACAGGGTTTAAGATCAAATTAAGATAAAAATGTCTTTATCCATGCTGCAGATTCTTAAGGATGCCTGATATATTAATATGTTTCAGTTAGAAGTTGAAATGAATAAAATTTCCCACTGGCAAGTTTTCTATGGATCATCTCAGACAAGTGCTGGGTGTTCCTTGCTCTTACCCAATACATTAGTTAAGATGCTTCAGTTCTATAACACAACCAGCAAGATGCTTTCAACATATTCAAATGAGGTGCGAATAGAACATGCTTTCCTTAGGAAAAGCACAAAAGGACACAGAAAAAAAATTACTTTTCTAAGCCAAAGCTTTCTGGGGTTATATACAAAGTTATATTTTCATTGTTTTAAAAAGAATATTTGGCCTTTAGCAAATATCACAACTTGTTCAGAGAGCCTAAATTCTCTTCACTGTTAGCAAAGCGGATTCTGAGTAAAAAGCCACAAGTTCAACTTCACAGAGTCCCCGTCAGAACCCGAGGGCACTGATGATTTATATTGGGGCATTCTCTCTTCTAACTCAGAAAACTAGGTGGGAAATGTCAGTCACTGTCACTTTTATGCTAGGATACTGTTAATCCAGGGGATGTTTTGTGGGGTTCTGGTGTTGGGGATAAAACCCACAACCCCACGATGCAAGAAAAGCCTCAACACAACTGTGCTCTATTTTCAGTTCCCTAGACAAAGTTTTCAATCTCATCACATTGGTCCTTAATCCTTACTTGTGGAAAAGCCATGCTTAATGAATCTACAAAGCTGCCCAGAAACAAAAGGATGATGATTTATTTCCACACTGTGATATATAGAAGATTCCGGAAGGGCACACTTTCATTTCGTTCTCTTGAAATGAAACAAATGCAGGAGACATAATGGCTACCCTTTTCCATGGGAGCAGACACCCCTGCGTGTATAATGATACCCTGGGCTCACCTAGCCTTCAGTAGCACATTAGAACATCTGTCGCTCTGCACAGGTTCACACCCTGCAGCCTCAGTGATACCAGAAAGCATTCCTCTCTGGTCATAGGCCACACTTGACATGGTCTAATTCAGGTTCAGAAAAATGCTCATGTAGACGACAAGGTGAAAAGGGACTTTACCCTGATGAAGAGGATCTTCTCGCCTACTCTGTATCGACCTTGAGAGAGCCGCTCCACACAGAATTTGGTTGGGCACTTGCAGGGAGGATCTTCAGAGATTCTTTTTACCTGAAATAGAGTAGTACATTCATTGTCTCTGATAAAGTCGCATGGGATTATTATCCAGGAGCTTAATCATGGCTGAACTCTTAATCATCTAGACTTGTTCTATGTCAGAACAAGTGAGTAGAGGGACCCTGGCTGAAATGTGAATGAAGATCAGGGTCTGGAAGCACCTTCTGGAGCTCTGAGCATGCTGGCTTATGGTGACACTGATAAGGAGAGAAGATGAGATCAGTTGGCGTGGTAGCAGCCATGAGCTGGAGATCCAGAAAGACAGTATGTGTGGGGTCCATACAACAACGGTATTAACAGGTAAAATAAAGCATGCAGGTAAAATAACCATATTGAAAGCTAGGGCAAATGCTCATGACACAGAATGTTTCTTCAATACTAACCTACTTCATTTTAAAATGAAAGAAAAACATGTTTTTTAGGAAAATCTTTTTTTCTTGTTTGAAACTCTAAGGTTTTTCCCCTGAAGTTTCACCAACAGATTATTCAGACTCATCTACATTTTATCCCATCTTAGGTATCATATGTAGTGTTAGCTGATACTCAAAATGAATAATTAAAACCTGATTCTGGTTAATGTTCTTTTTGAGTTCTCAGGAACAGGCATGAATACTATAAATCTTAAGAATAGCTCTAGAAAATTCATTTGTTTTTATAACCCATAAAACTTCTAGAATGTTTTTAAATGAGGAAGATTTTCAGACAATCCAGACTATCCCAAATATCACATATATTCAACAACAAATACTTCATCTATAATTTCCCTGAACTACTCAGCTGTTAGCAGCTATCATTTTGTACAGATAATATTAATTCAACAGATATGAAAGCTGTGGTACTTAAAGTTTGCTATCAAGAAATACAGCCATTGTTATTTATTCACTTATTCATTTAGTGTGGTTTTTGTTTATGTTATGTATGTCTGTGTATAGTATATACACACATACGATCACAGAATACACATATGTGAGTGTCTGTGTATGTGTATGTGTATGTGTAGGAGAGCACTGGATAAATTTTTCTGTCTGTCTCTGTCTTATTTCCTTGAGACCATGTCTCTCACTGAACTTGGAGCTATGCTAGTCCCAGCAAGCCCCAGATAACCTTTTGTCTCCACTCCCCATAGCATTGAGGTTACTGACACAGGAGTGAACATATCAGTTTTTTATAAGGATGTTGGGACCCAAACTCAGGTCTTCATGCTTCAATACTAAGCACTCTAAACCCTCAGCCCTCACCCAGACATTATTTTTAATGATATAGTGACTGAAATTCACTCTTCTACCAAGCAAAAGCCATAGAGAAGATAACTTATGAAC